TACAGTTTATGTACTGATGGAAAGCAGAGCTACCCCTTAAAATGAGTACAGTAATACCATCACTCTTATTAATAAAGTGATGGCTAAATGGGTTGTTTAGAATAGTGACAGCATCAAAGTTTGGATGTAGAGAGTCCTGTGGTTTAGAATTCCAAAGCCCCCTGCAGATTGAATCTGCTTATTTTAATAATTAAAACAAAATATGTGGGGAAAATAGAAAAGGCCATCTAAGTCTCAGAGGTTAAAAAGTTCCATAACTTGAATATAGCTACTGAGATCTGTGCTAATACCATAGACAGGACATATGTAACATACCATAACCACCTATTTCAGATAGCAAGCAATGCATGTCATCTATTTACACTATATTAGAAAGTTGAAATACTGCTTTTTATTTTTAAATCTAAGGTCACAAAATAAGGCATAACACAATACAGTCAGATCAATCAAATGCTGTCGGGAACAATGCAGAACCAGACAAATATGTCTTGAGTTGTTGGGCAGAAGTGTTCCAAATTAGGAGCCCACCAGATGTTAGCAGCATGTCAGCAAATAGTGCTGCCCTGAAAGTGTTCAGAAATTGTAACAGTCTCTATTGGTGGGCCATCAGCAAATTTCTGTAGGGATTTATCTGTGAAAACCATCTTCAACAAGCTTATAAGTGATATCATCAGCTGTGTATATGTGTTGATTTGTACTGGAGCTCACTTAGGCTTTTAGCCAAGCATCTTTGTCATTTCCTGTTGTTTCATATCTAATGTATGTGTTCGGTATTTCACTGTGCTTTTACTGGACAGCTAAATAACAATTGTTGCCCTTGATTATATCTTTATATTTATGATTATTTGGGTATATGGTATATCACTAGCAAGAGATGGAAACAAACATGGAATTACAGTAGTAAAGATTGTTAGCTGGATCATGTGATCATGGATCATGTGATACTGTAATGCATAGTAATGCAGCAATAATGACCTAAATTTTAAAAAGTAACATGAAATGTTAGGAGAGAATAAATATTCCTTCCATTCACTTCTATGTAAGAAAGAACCAATACAGTTTATGAGTAATATTTCCATATTTTTTAATGCATAGTACCAGCAGGATGGAGTGTCCGACATTTAATTTGGTTTGGTACTAAGTTTCTGCATGTAAAGGGAATGCAGTATTTTCCCAAGTAGGTGAATTAGGTCATAAAGCATTTCCAAAGATGCCTTCTGGAAAGTATATTTCATTCGTTCGTTCATTTAGTCGTGTCCGACTCTTCGTGACCCCATGGACCAGAGCACCCCATGCCCTCCTGTCTTCCACTGCCTCCCGGAGTTGGGTCAGATTCATGTTGGTTGCTTTGGTGACACTGTCCAACCATCTCATCATCTGTTGTCCCCTTCTCCTCTTGCCGTCACACTTTCCCAACATCAGGGTCTTTTCCAGGGAGTCCTCTCTTCTCATGAGATGGCCAAAGTATTGGAGCCTTAGCTTCAGGTTGATTTCCTTTAGAATTGATAGGTTCGTTCTCCTTGCAGTCCAGGGGACTCTCAAGAGCCTCCTCCAGCACCACAATTCAAAGGCATCAATTCTTCAGCGGTATTTAGGAATACATAAATAACAACTAAAAGAATATTTGAAAGTATTCTTGAATTGCATTTTGCTGTTGTTGTTTAGTCGTTAAGTCATGTCCAACTCTTCGTGACCCCATGGACCAGAGCACGGCAGGCCCTCCTATCTTCCACTGCCTCCTGGAGTTTGGTCAAATACCTTTTTTTAATTAACAACTTAAGATATGGTAAGGAGTACAGAAGGTAAAGAGGAATATGGGGGGAGAAAAAAGAAGGGGGGAGAACACAAATCTGTCCACCAAATCTAATTCCTTAAATCTGTTCTTCACTTCTACTATGTATTCATAAGGGATTTAGATTAGATTCTACCCGACTAGCCCAGTGGTTTTTCCTACTCTCTTCAGTTTAAGCTTGAATTTTGCTACAAGAAGCTGATGATCAGAGCCAAAGTCAGCTCCAGGTCTTGTTTTTGCTGACTCTATAGAGCTTCTCCGTCTTTGGCTGCAGAGAACATAATCAATCTGATTTTGGTATTGCCCATCTGGTGAGGTCCATGTGTAGAGTTGCCTTTTGTGTTGTTGGAAATGAGTGTTTGTGATGACCAGCTTGTTCTCTTGACAAAACTCTATTAACCTTTGCCCTGCTTCATTTGGAACTCCAAGGCCA